ATTTACTTTCTTATTTTAATCAACAAATTAGTTAAATAAGTCCTATATTAAGAATAAGAGGAGTAATATAAATAAAAATATGGTTTAAAAAGTGGAATTACACTCATTAAAGCAACAAAACTTCTTCTCACCACGGCATACCTATTTTTTCTTGCTTTAAAATTTAAAATATTATTTAAAATATTATTTAATATATTAATTTAAAATAAAAAAATATTATATCAAAATAAAAAATCCTTCATTACGGCATACCTATTTTTTCTTGCTTTAAAATTTATTTTCCATCTAAATTAATTATATAATTTTTTCAGAATTTATTGGTAAATTTTTACCGTTTATTTTTTTATTTCTTAACTATTAATTTATTAGAAATTGTAGAATAAATGTATAATTTATATTGATATTTCAAGGTAATATTAAATAATTATATAACATCATCTAAATATATTTAATATATTTTTTAGATAAAAATATGATTATATCTCGTTTATTTATAAGGATATTTTGATTAACGTGTAAAGGAAAAAAAATATCATATGACCATAAATTTATTAAAATTTTGTAGGCTTAATAATATGATTTATATTTATATTTCAAGAATTTTTATATTGGTATAAAAAGATTAAAAAAATTAGTTAACTTAGTTGTTTGTATGAAATTATGTGTTGTTCTCTAAAGTATAGCTATGGTTATTTTGCATTAGAAACCAACTCTTGATGGATACTTCTTAATATGCACAAGAAGAGTTTGAAAAAAGAATTATAAATTTAAGAGATAAAGTAAATTGAGTTTTGTATTTAAAACTAAAAAAATGAACTCCTGTACTAACTCTTATACTTGTAATCAAATGTGCAATTCTTTAATTATCTTCTTTTCTTTGGAATCAGTGTGTTTTTCTTCCCTTTTCCTAGCGTGTGATTGTGACAACTTTGATGAAAATACATACACATGATAGGTGCATATTTTATAATTCAATAGGTGTAGATTTAAAGATATTTGATTAAATTTATGAATATTTATGCCTATTGAATTAGTTTTATATATTTCTTCTTATCAATTGATTATAAGATAAAAAAGAAATCTTATTAAAATTTACTCATATCTTTTTTATATTTTACATATCAAATTATTAAAATAATTGTTTTTAAGTATACACACCAATAATGAAAAAATTGAAGTTGGAACATTTACACCTTGATTATATATACTAGTTTAATAATATATATTACTGATGTATCATTCATTTTAAATTAAATTATTAATTTAAGCACAAAATTTTTGAAAATGAAAATTTATTAATTATTTTATTTTATTTCTTCATGATATAATAACACATTTAATAATTTGATATATTAAATATCATATTTAAAAAATAAAAAAATTATAATAATTAATGACAAAGAAATGGCTAAAAAAATAATATTGATTTTCAGCGGCAACAATTATAGTCGTTGTTCAAAGTTGTCATTTTTAGCGGCGATAATTATAGTCATTGTGTTATGAAAAATGAGAAAAGTACAAAGATTGAGATGAGGGAGATGGAGAAAATAAGAGGAAATTAGAGGAGAAATTAAGGGAGAGTTCTCATTCACTTCATTGTCTCAAATGTATGTACATCATCTCCTATTTATAGGACCCCAATATTGAAGACTAACCTAAAGAGTTACAAGTATATAAAGAAAGGAATTAAGCAACATAATTGTACAATTGGAGGTTATAGGAAATCAATACTTGAAACCCTTCAATTTGGGAGTTATAAGGTATAATGCCATTAACCATGAGAAGGAATCCCAAGGGGCTAAGGAGTTATGAACATCCACATAACATAATGTTAATTTACAACACATTGCTAAAAGTTATTACTTTTAGTGGCGACTCTAAAAAATTATTGTTGAAACTTGACTTTTAATAACGACAATAAAAGTTGCTGTTAAAACTTGACTTTAAGAGGCAACTGTTATTGTTATTGTGGAAAGTCAAGTTTCAGAAACGACTTTTTAGAATTACCGTCGAAAGTTACCACCAAAAGTCTCTTCTTTTTTTTTTATGTAGTGATTCTATGCTAATTATTATAAATAAGAAAGATAAAAAGAACAAGAATTATTATCCTCAATTGAACTGTTCTCAGTTTCTAGAGGAATAAAATACTAATATGTAGTCTTAGATTTCGGTCTTATGATTACTTCCTATAATTTAATATATTAATACTCCTCCGGTCCTTAATATAGGACCCAATTGGTGAATTGGTTTTGGTCCTAAATATAAGACCCATTTCTCATATTTATCAATTATCTCTAAATTACCCTATGGATACCCTTTCAACCTTAATCAAGTAGAAGAGAAAGATGAGGTATTAAGAAATATGATTATGGTATTTTAGGAAAAATATGTCATATTTCTTATAATTAACTAACTTACCTAACTTTCTTAATCTAATCAAATTAGTTAAATGGCTCTTATATTAAAGACCGGAGGAGTATATGCAATAAACTTTGTAATGATAAATTGTTATTTGTAAATTATGAATAATATAACCATTAAAGCAGTCCTAGTTGTCCGTTTGCAAAACCTGAAAACATAATCAGCAGCTCTGCTTCCTCAATCTTCGGACATTCTGTGCAAGTTTTTCAAAAAATGGCAGAAAAAGTTTCATTATAACAGGCAAAAGGTAAAATAGAAATTATTCATTTCTTAAATTTCTTTTTGTTATTTGGCAGCCAAAATCACAAAAAGTTTACATCCTAGGACCAACCATTTTATTTTTAAAAAAATGAATTTCATAATTAAAATTAATCACATGGACTTCTTGTTTGCAATGAATTTTTTTAAGCTTCAAAAGTACCTTTACATTTTCTTAATTAGTTTACTGTTCTAATTGTTTTACTTCAGAATTCCTTTTTTCAGCAAGTTATTTGGAAAAGTGCTTTCGTTTTTAGCTTTCAAAATAGGATTTCAGAATCCTAACAGATTAAAGTAGTGTGTGATACTATTATTATTATTTATAAATATAATTTTCAAGGTAAAATATACAAAAGAGGACAAATGTTGTTTAATTATCTCAAACAAATATTTCACAAACTTATTTCTATGTGCACGTCAAACACCCAGTAAACGGTCAGCATTTTATCTCGATAACTCCAGGTTTTTGGCATAAGAAAGAGAGGCCTATTTTTTTTTAAAAAAATGCTGAAGTCCAACAAAATATTATTTTGGATAGACTAAACCAACCTTAATTTTGTTAGAATGTTATCCTTCAATATAATTTTCCAGAATGCTTTGAAAAAATTTCGCGTAATGATCTATTCAAGTCTCTGAATTATTAGATTGAGTGATGCGGCTTGCAAAAAATGTTATTTTTGAAATATACGTGCAAAATACTCTTTTTGTCGCGTATGATATATAGAATCTGTTAAAAAAAATCACCATTTACATGTGTTTTTGAAGTCAATTGTGCATTTTCCTTGGGTTTACTAAGGTGATATTACCAAAATAAAATATACATTATATCGACATGTATACGTTATTTCCTTGTAGAATGGACTATGACTTGGAGGTCTTCTCACAAGTCAGTCAAGCACTTTACATTCCTCAGCTAAGGCCCATAGACTTTTGCTATATATGCTTGTGAAGGATAGGGACAATATATGGCCTACCAAACTAAAAATCATAAATGAAATAATATAATGAAAATGAAAATGCGGTCCAAGAAGTAAAAGTAAACTTCCTAAAGAGACAAAGTTTCTTCGCATCACTAACGCGCTTTATGGAGTCCCTCCGTGACCGATACAATATAGTGATATTGAAAGGATGGTTGTTGACCTGATATTCTACTTCTTTCTTTATTGCATATCAACTACTTTTATGGGATAACTTTTATTTATGTATTTTTTTTTTAGTTGTTCGTGACCTTACATAGCTCAAAAGTTAAGCCCCTGCAAGTAAATGGATGAATCCTTTCTATTAAAAAAGCGATTTTCATAATTAAAACTAGTCATACGCTTTTACTTTTCTCCGTTGTTTTACTTCGGACTTCCTTTTTTCCGCCAATATATAAGGAAAAGTGCTTTTGTTTTTACCTTCTCAAAATTGAATTTTGGACGGTAAGGTATTAAGAAAATTCTAGAGAGAAACGAAATAAAATCCTAACAAACTATAATTATGCATGACACCACCATCTTGTCTCAATAACTCGTGGTTTTCCCATGAAGATTGGCGCGGAAAAGATAGTATTATTTGGAAGAATATGATGATATATATACACGCTAAGACATCAAAATATTATTTTGCATTGCTCCTAATTTTATTAATCTCATTAGATCCCATCTCAGGGCTTACGCTTGATTAGAAGTAATTATCTTAGTAAATGACATTTGATGAGGAAGAAGTACAAAGTACTACCTTCTACCTTAATATAAGATCTAATTCATAGTTTAAAAATGGACTACAAACTAAATCTCATATATTAAGGACATGAGGTAGTATTATATAACCAGTCTAGAAGAAGTTTCTTCAAAATAAATATCAAACTCCTAAAACATAGAAGGAATTTTGGATAATTTGTAGGAGAATCTTGAACGAGAAGAGATACAGAATCATAAAATGGCGTGAGTTAATTCCTGGATGCACCGTGGTACTTATTCTTGTGATGAATACAGAAACTGGTTTCGTAGGATCAATACTTTTGAGTTTTGATTTTTAACATTAATGATATATTATCTCTTTCTTGGATCAAATTAGTTGTTTGTATTTTAGGGAGATTCTTAAACCCAAATAATCTGTTTATTTGTATGTTAAAAACAATTCCAAGTCCAAGTCAAGGCATGCAAACTCAATTGCAAAATGACATCCCTCGTGACTAAATTAAGATATAATTAGTGTTTGTTTGGAATTGAGTTTGCACGCCTTGACTTTGACTTGGAATTGGACAAGTATAAAATGGCATGTGGATTAATTACTAGATGCACAATACTTGCAAATTTGAAAACTGTGATATGCTAAACATGGGAAAACCTCTTTCCTTTGTTTTCCTCTTTTTACTTCGTTGCTGCTTCATGTCCTCCTTAGCTTGGCCTGAGAAAAACATTACTACTGATCAATATGCACTTCTTGCCCTTAAATCCTCAATCACTTCAGATCCATATGATTTCTTAGCTAAATGTTCTCCCTCTTCTTCTCCATGCACTTGGGTTGGAGTTGCTTGTAATACTCGTCATGGAAGAGTCCACTCCTTGAATCTTAATGGCATGGGTCTTAAGGGGACCATCTCTCCACAATTGGGAAATCTTTCATTTGTTGTTGAGCTTGATCTTGGTGACAACAATTTGTATGGTCAAATACCAAAAGAGTTAGTTCGATTGGGTAGATTGAAACTATTGAACTTGAGCTACAATGACTTTCATGGGGAAGTTAGATGGATCGGATATTTATCTTCACTTGAGCAACTGCATCTTCAAAATAACAGTTTTAATGGATTTATTCCGCTATCTCTATTAAACTTGTCAAGGCTAGAGACCTTAGATTGGAATTTTAATTTTCTTGAAGGGACCATTCCATCTGAGGTGGGAGGACTTCAGCGATTGAAGACTTTACGACTTGCAAGTAACAAACTTTCAGGAGCCATTCTGCGAACAATTTCCAACTTATCTTCACTTGAATTATTGAATTTGTCTTACAACGCTTTGTCAGGTATGTTTAGATGATTTTTCATATTTATATCTGTATTTTCTCTCTATTTTAGCAAGATATAAACTCTCAATGATCATGTTTTGGGTTTGTCCCCCTTTTTTTTGGGTATCTATGCATTTTTTATCAGATTTTTTAAATGCAATGATCGATATTATTTTCGATAAATTAGGTATTACAACTGAAGTAGATAGAATGTTTGTTTCTATTTTACAAGGCATTCAAAATTTCAAATAAAAGCTAGCATGGGAATAAAGAATGTTGCTATTATGTCATTTAGGATGTCTAGAAAAAGCTGGGTTGCTTTTTCAAAATGATCAAGGCTCACAACCCACGGATTTGGAGCATTCAGTTTTGGTTTGAATCATCTAAATCATATATTAGTTTTATTATTTATTAATAAATTATGAATTCTTTATTAACAAAACAGTATTTATATAATAATTTTTCTTATGGATGTCAGTTATTGGAAATAAAAATACTAAAAAAATTCTCTCATAACGTGACAAACTAGAGTTTGAATTCTTGTTTTAAGAGGTGCCTATATTTAATACCTAACTATACCTCGAACATCATTACTTCCAATAAAATGACACTTGTGCTTAGAAAAAAATTAAAAAAATAGATATAAAAAATTTATAATCACAGTTTGTACATGAATCATCTATATATTATCAAATGATGACTTTTATTGGACTTTGAGGGAATACAAATTTCTGTTCTTTTTATTTTCACTTCTTTACCATTGATCTAAAAAAAATATTTTTATCGACCACACCAATAATCTTAATTGGCCTATGTAGATATTGATCTTGGGCTGTCCTTATATTGGACTTAATTAACTAGTAATAAATTTAATTTTTAAAAATAATTGTATTTCTTAACGTTGTCAATTTAACTTTGTAAGGATATATATATATATATATATCTATCTATCATCTTTAAGTATATTTTTTTAAGTTTTCCAATGAAAATGAAGACATAAAAATGCAACACTAGATTGAGAAATCTCCTATTGTAAACATGAATACAAAAATACATGCTTTAGCAGATTCTTCCATATGCATGTACAAACCCACCAACAAGAAGAAAAGACCTAAAAAAAATATATGCACATCTTAAATTATCTTTCTTTTTAAAAAAATTTTTTGGTATTTAAATTTATTGTCGATTATTATCTATTTCAATATGCAAACAGCGAAATAATAATTTTTTTCTATGTATATTAATTATTTCAGCAATGAACTTGATCATTTTGTTATGACAACTTATGACTTATGATTCTTAATGTGCATGCTATGAAGTTGACATTTGACACGTATTGTTTGCCATTTAATATTTGAAGGATCAATTCCAGATGAGATTGGTGATCTTCAACAACTACAGATAATATATCTTTCAGATAATTTATTATCAGGCTTTATACCAACCTCTATCTTTAATAATTCAGTGCGACGAGAGATTGAACTTGGCAAAAATAGTTTATCTGGGAGTCTTCCGACAAATTTGTGCTTTGAGCTTCCAAAACTTGAAAGTTTCTATGTAGATGAAAATAATTTGTCTGGAAAGATACCATCCATGTGGCATCAATGCAAGGAATTGATCGATTTAGCATTGGGTGATAACATGTTCGAGTCAGGAATAATTCCAATTGACATTGGAAATTTGACCAACCTTCAATATCTATATCTTCGCAACATACGCTTGCAAGGTAAGAGTTTTGATTATATGGTTGTCTTAAATTTTGTTCCTAGTACTTTGACAAGTCACTAATTTGCACAAGTTTAGTGAATAGTAATTTTGCTAGTTTATTTTTAAAGTCATGGAACATGATGATTTCTTTTAATCCTATAGCGAATATCTTCTTTTTTTTAATGTAGAATTTTCACACCCACTTCAAAAGATGAACTAAAATATTGGATCACTAAAAAATAGGGAACCTGAAGAAAATAGATTAGTCAACATTTCAAAACATCATTTGGTGTGGCATTCCTTCACCATGTATCAATTTTTTTGGGCATTAACTCAGTTGCCAACAAGGATGACAAGAAGGGCTAGTTGGGTTTCAATGTTTCTTTGCATAACCTCTTATTTTTCATTTTCCCCTGCATTTTCTTGTCAGTCACTAGTCAGTGGCAGTTTTCATTAGTTTTTTTTTTTTCAAAGAAAGATAATTCATTTGAATTTTTCAACCAATCACATGCACGTTGATTTTGCTGAGGAAAAATTACATGCCTTACATAAAAAATAATATAAACCATTAAGAGTCGTTGCATTTTTATTTTTATTTCTCAAAATTTTTTTAAGTCTTGACAAATGTTATACAAATAATATTTTATTATTTATTATTTTTTAAAAAAATTATTAGCAAAATAATGTTTTTTGGGAATCTCTCAATAAATGTGAGATTGAGTTCCATGTCTAGTTTCCTTTTTCCCTAATCACTATTAATTGAAGAAATTTATAGTCTTATTTATGAAATGAAACGAATATAGCTTACATGATATATGGGACTTTTACTGAATTAAATAATCCATGAAATCCGAAAAGATAGCAATAATAAATTTAAATTTTACCAAAATATTCTAAAATATGAAACATAACAAAATAATAAATTGAACTAATAAAACACAGTATAATGGGCCTTGGGAAATAGCCCAATACGTTCTGCAACATTAAACTACCTAAATGTCTCAAGCAATCACATATCCAAATTATTTATTCCATGGCTGTTATCCCAGCCGAATTGAAGGGCATACTCCTTTTTGAAAATAAGCGTAGTTATGCTTTATTATTTAGGATATATTTATGTTATTTCTAAAAAAATGTGCAAGTCTTACTATATGTGTTTTTATACTATCAATTTGTCTCGTTTACATAATAACTTCTTATACGTAAATAATGGTTACTGATATTATTCTTTTTTTCCTAATCTGATATTTGAAGGAAGCATCCCAAATGAGATCGGAGATCTTTTACAATTGAAGGGGTTGTATCTTGGAGGAAATCAACTTACTGGTTCCATACCATCTTCATTATTTAACAATTCAGTGCTGCAACAAATTGATCTCGGAGAAAATAGCTTATCAGGTAGTCTCTTATACCAAATGAACCCTAAGTATACTTAATAACTTGTTCAAACGCGTCAAAACATTTTTCCTCGAAAGATAAAGTGGCTGAAAAAAGTAGTTTAATGCTTTATGCAACCCATGATTAATTGGCAAGGCACAAAAAAATTATATACATATATATATACTCCTCCGGTCTTTAATATAAAACTCATTTAACTAATTTGGTTAGATTAAGGAAGTTAGGTAAGTTAGTTAATTATAAGAAATGTGACACATTTTTTCTAAAACACCATAATCATTTTTCTTAATACCCCCTCTCCCCCTTCTACTTGATTATGGTTGAGGGAGTATCCATAGAGGTAATTTAGAAAAAAATTGATAAATACGATAAATAGGTCTTATATTTAGGACCAAAACCAATTCAATAATGGGGTCCTATATTAAGGATCGGGTCCTATATTAAGGACTGGAGGAGTATATAGACACACACTCAACCTACACGGATTACACATACTTATAAGGCAATTTGATGGTTACAAGAAATTTGCTTTCTCCCATTCTAACATTTATGCATGAATTAATCAGCTTAACAAATATATTCAAGCTTTTGGAATTAGTAACACGTGCAGGTTTTTTTTTTTTGTACACACATGTATTTTTTTTTTTAATTTTATACTTTGATCAACAAAAAAGAAGTAAATAGCATCCAACACTTTAATGTTATTTCTTAATAGCATTCAGTATTTTAATTTATGGTATATCTAGTATTTTTATATTATTTTTTTGATACATTCAGCATCCTATGATGTTATTTTTTTTGTCACATCTAGTACTCTAATCTTATTTATAGTTGAGGGTTCTCAATGTATAAAAAATAGGATTTAACTGCCGGAAGCACATAAAAGTAATATCATAATGCTGAATGTAATTTGAAAACTAATATCTGACTAGTGGATGTTACTTTATCCATAAAAAAGCTCCACATCATGTATAATGTTCCCCTATGTTTTATCTGTAGATTGTATTGCACTCCTTTAGAAAAGTAGTCAAAAATAAATTTTAATTTTCATATATTTTTATTAAAGCTTTATAAAATTTAAATTAAAAATAAATAAGTAAATGTACTTAGTTGACACAAATATATTTTGGTAGCGGCAATTCATTTACAAGTGTCCTTTTATCTATTATTTAGTTATTTTAAAAGCTTTTTACCATGTTCATTTCACAAATAATGATCAGCAATTCAGCATAAAACTTAATATTCAGACATTGTTTTTTAACTACTTTTAATCACTTAGTAGGAGAGATGTTTTTATAGTATCACCTCCTAGTAAATATAAGAACTAGTTATAAATTCAATTTAGTTTTAACTATAAGATCCTAATCCATTTTATTTTTCATCTTTCCTCAAAATATCCCTATTAATTGTAAGGGATTTTTGCTAGGGGATAATTTCAATCGTCCAATGTATATGATTGGAAAAAATAGTTTAAGAAGACTAACATACATTTGTGACAAATAATCAAATTATCTAATTTTTTTAATATCTTCAAATTAGTTATCTAGCTCTTATATTAAGAAGCGGAAGTAGTATTATTTTTTGTTTGGTAACATGAAGTTACAGACATAGATAGCATAGTATATATTTATTATAAGAGATGTTATATCTTTTTTTCCCCAAATAATTAATGTTTTCATTCAAACACATTTATAGGAAAAGAATTAAGCTAACATCAAAATTCAATTTTCAAACTCTTACACTAGTTTTTAATAAATTAAATAAATCAGGACATGGTCCTATTATAATATTAAATACAAATTAAGTTAGCAGAAAAATTAATATACTCCTCCAATCCTTAATATAAAACATATTTAACTAATTTAATTAGATTAAAGAAGTTAGATAAGCTAGTTAATTATAAAAAAATATGACTTTTTTTTTAAAAAACACCATAATTATCTTCCTTAATATCCTCACTTTCTCTTCTACTTGATTATGGTTGAGGGAGTATCTACAGGGATAATTTAGGAAAGATTGATAACTATGAAAAATATATCTTATATGAATGACCAAAATTAACTCAACAATTAGGTCCTATATTAAGGACTGAAGAAGTATTATCTATAGATGATTGCACATCATAGAATAGATAATATGTATTGGTCCTTTTTATATAAAATGGTGCATTCTGATACTCCATACATCTTATGCATAAAACATACTATTTTATCTTCTTTTTTTCTTGTGTATTCTCTTAGTTATGAAAATATTATTTATCCATTAATTTTTTTTTGTCCAGGTTTTGTACCCAAAGGGATAGGCAATCTTGATAAACTCAGTATCTTAGCCTTGTCCAATAATTATTTTAAAGGATCTATTCCTTCCAACATATTCAATATTTCAACATTGACAAGAGTTTTACTAGATAATAATTTCTTTTCTAGCCTCCTCCCATCATATTTAGGAATTGGCCTTCCTCGATTGGAACAGTTAATGCTACATGAAAATAAATTAACTGGACAAATTCCAAATAGCATATCAAATGCTTCTAAGCTCATTTTGTTAGATTTGTCATCAAATAAACTTAGTGGAGGTATACCCAATGGGATTGGAAATTTAACGAACTTGATCAAATTAGCTTTGGATGGGAATGATTTGATTGGGGTGATTCCAACTGGAGTTAATGATTTACATAGCCTACAATTTTTAAGTCTCAGCAACAACAGATTACAAGGGTCCATTATAAATGAACTTTGCCAGCTCCAAAGTCTAAAGGAGTTGTTTCTTGCCAACAACATGTTTTTGGGAGTACTTCCAGGATGCCTAGGGAATACTTCTTTGTAGCAGTTGAATTTTAGCTCTAACAAATTGTTTTCTCATATACCCTTTTCTCTATGGAGTCTTAAAGATATCTTGGTTTTGGATATATCCTTAAATGCCCTCAGTGGAATAATTCCACCAATTGTATCAAACTTGAGAGCAATTATATTGTTGAACTTGTCAGGAAACCAAATTTCAGGAAGCATCCTTACAACTATGGGTGACTTGCAAACTTTGATAAACTTATCTTTGGCTCATAACAAATTACATGGGCCTATTCCTGAATCATTTAGCGGCATGATACGCATCGAGTGCATTGATATTTCTTATAATTACTTGTCTGGTGTGATTCCAAAGTCCTTAGAGTCATTACTCTATCTTAGCTATATTAATCTTTCATACAATTTATTGCATGGAGAAATTCCAAATGGTGGTTCTTTTCAAAATTTCACTGCTCAATCTTATGTGATGAATAAAGATCTTTGTGGGAAAATCCAACTACAAGTCCAATAAAGCGATATTGGTGATAAAATGCTCATTACCTATCATGGTTGTCATTTTGATTGTTGCAGGCATTGTCTTTCTAAAGTATAAGAGAGATGATGATAATTATTGAACCAAAAGGGATTTGATAAATTTGGATACACCAACCAAGATATCTTATTATGAGCTTCTACAAGTAATAGAAGGATTTGATAGGAGTAATCTTCTTGCCTCTACAAGTCCTGGATCAGTATACAAGGCAATTATTTCAAATGAAAAAATTGTTGCTGTAGTGAGGTTAGTCCTCTGTTTTGACCCTATTGGAGGCTGGGGAAAGGGCATTCTTCACCCAAAAAAAAAAAAAAAACCGCCTAAAACATATGGCAACCCCCCAGTCCACTTCTGTTTGTCCTTCTTTCTTGTGGTGGAACTAGGGATTCACCCTCGCAAGAGTGGTCATGGCCAAAACAAAAAAAGACATCATTAATTTTGCCCCTGTGCCAAAGGAGTCAAACTACGATAGTCTGAGTCATATGGCGGTGGGGCTGCGTTCCGCTCTCTTTCATCGGTTAAGTGGTGGATGGGGAATCCTTCGGTCGACCATGTCCCTGGACCTCCTGGCTTTCAACGGTTCTGCTCCTTCTAACCGGGCCTTAGGAAAGCATTTAACTTGGTATTGGAATAAGCATTAAAAAGTCCTGGAGTATCTTCATCATGGCTGAACAAAATCATTGATGTGACAGCAGGTTTGGAATATTTTCGTCATGGTTTTTCCACACCAGTTGTTCTTTGTGAATTGGGACGAAGAAATTATTTGTGTGGTGAAGACACGGGACATCATCTTAATGATTTTGGTATTTCCATATTGCTTGGAGAAAGAGAATTGGAAATTTAGACCAAAACTTTGGCCAATCAGGTAATGGTTTAAACATAATATTTTGGATTTATTTATATTTTACTCTTTGTTATGACTTATAATTCTATATTATCCAATTTCTAGCAAATATTTTATGTTTTCATGTGTAAAGATTTTAATTGATAACAAAATATTTAGATAAAATTACATAAAATATTGTCACAAAAAATTACATAATATATTCTTTAAGCCAAAATTTCCATTTCTAGAGCCTGAAACCAATTCTTGAAATATATATTACTCTCGAAATAATTGTTTTAATTATTTGAGGACTCCTGGTATTTATCATAATTTTGGATAATTATCTTTTAATTAAGCACAATTTTAAAAATGAACTAAAACTCCTTTTTTAGAATGTTCACCTCATTTTTCACCACAATCGCACCTCAAATATTGTAAAGGGCGGTTTTCTCTCTTTTTTTCTTGAATTTTTTTTTTTTGAAATTTTTTGAAATTTTGAGTATAATTTTCAATAATTAACTCTGTTAACTAGAAATTTTTAAAAAGTATACTTTTGACTAATTTCTTATATATATATATATATAATATCTCGATTATATTTCTACTATTTTATTTGACCCATAACTATTTCTTGTTCTCACATTCGGCCTTTACTCAGGAAGATCAAATACACTTATATATATATATATATATATATATATATATATATTAATTGCACCTCAATTATTATAAAGGAATTTTTCTCTATTTTTCATGAAATTTTTAGATTTTTTTTTAAACTTTGAGCATATTTTTAAAAAATCATCCTCCTTAATCAGAAACTTTTGAAAATTACACTTTTATCTTACTCATTTATGATCTTATATGATTTCTCAATTGCTTTTCTGGTATGAGTTAATATAATTTTTGGTTCTACAAGTTTATTTTCATTTTGATTTTAGTTCTTCAAGGAGCAAAATGATTCAAATTTTTATTAAATTATAAAAACCAATGTTTCAAATAAAAAAAAACTTGAAAGATCAAAATCGATTATTTAAAACTTCAGACTTTAAAATCAAAATGAAAACAAATTTAAGACGCTAAAAATTGTATTATCCCTTTCTGCTATTTTATTTTACCCCTAACTATTGCTTGTTCTCTCGCATTTAGCCTTTACTGGGGGAGACCCGATGTTATACTTCTTAAATGGCCAAAACACTCTTACACTCTTACTAGAACTTAATAATATATATATATTAATGATTAAAATATATATATATATATATATATATATAGTAATGATTAACCTTAGGCTTTTGTGGGACTTGATTAATTTAGGCATTACCAAGTGTTACTTTGCATGTTGAAGCACATGGGTAATTTGGAGAATAAGTAGCTTAATTTCAATAAATAACTATTATTCCCATTATTCTTTAATTGTCAACATCTGATATTGCCTCTGTGCATTTCTATGTGCAAGTGACGGTAATCAAAGAAGAGTCGGGTGCCATGACATTTGACTGAAGTGCCTTGGCGCGAGAGAGTCAAATAGTCAAAGCAAGAAGGAAGAATTATAATTAAGTCTAAAAAATAAGAAATAATTACTAAGAGGTTCTAATAACAATCTAAGCAGTCTGTAATAACAAATTCTAGAATGAGGAATGACAATCTCTAAAACTTATTTTGTAATTTATTTTCTTCCTTGATACCTCATTGTAATTCTCCCAAGAAATTTACTCTTAGGAGGAGTGGCATAATAATTAGAGTTAAGCTACCTTCAGGATCCTGAAATATTTTTCTAAATATGTTCAGAATTCTAAAAGTAAGTGATATGATTTTAACTATGAAATTATTACTACCTCTGACGTTAATTATAAGATCTTGTTTGTTTATAAATGAGATCTTATACTTTAAAAAAATGGTGCAGCCCCATCTATCTCTAACAGTTTGGCTGTTAAAATGGTAAGTCGGCCGAGTTTGACCAAAAGAAGTCTCATTTGGCCTTTGGATGGACAGTTCACATGCAATTTTTTATGTCTGAATATTTTTATAAGAGTTTCTAATGAATGGGCAGCCGGCATGGGTTTTTCCTGACTCCGCACCTTCAAGGACCCCTCCTTGCGCTCCTGAATTCGATTCCCCCGTTGAATTGGCCCGCTGGAGGACCCAAGTTTGAGAGGAAGTTTGATTCCATTCTTCGATTAGTCGCCGGCTGGAGCGCTGGCTCTCCTAAGGAGATTCGCCTTAGATTGCTCTGATCGGTCGGTCGCCCTTGTCACTGAAAGGTAAAGTTCTGATTGCAAATCCCCACGCCCGCTTGTTTCATATGGGTTGCGAAAGTTGAAATTGAAGAAGCAAAATTGGTTGGATGGTAAAATCTAAATTGGTTTTCTTCCGCCTACCTGGATTTGGTTTCTAATTTTTTTTCTTCGAATTGTTCCGGGCAAGATCCAGCTTCTTAAATGTTGAAATAATATGAGTATTTCTTTATTGGCATGTGAAATGCTTCATAATAATTTCTGCAGCACCTCTTCTCCTTTGTGAAGTTAAGCGCCCATATCTATAGTATTTTATGTTTGTTATCAAAATAGACCCCTGTCCATGTAATTTCTATTGTATGTATATTTTAAGTCTTCCTTGAACTTGTAATGCAGTTATATGTGAAGACAATTTTCTCTTGTTCACTTCTGAAGCGGTCAAATGGGTTTATCTGGTGCATTACTTCTTATGTTCTTTCTGTGTTAGCACAGTACTCCTATAGGTAGCTTCCTTTTCATTCGAGGCTGAGAACATGGTTATTACAATCGTGTTTCGTCCCTTGCTATCATATTGTCCCTTTAGCTCTTCTACCTTCTTTTTGTGTTTTTGTCTTAAGTGTAACTTTATAGAGTTGCTAATTGTTGCAGTACCCTGTTTGTTTTACTTATGAGGATGATGACACTGATGCTGTGTTAGCTGATAATGATGCCACTAGCCAACTTGCTATTGCAACTAATGGTGGGTGAGCATGAATATGCGAATATAGCTTCACTGTTTGAATAAATTTCTGATAGTATCATTGCCCCTGTATCTTGCTCCTCTCAATACTATCAGTTACCTCGTTGGATTCTGTTTCAATTTATTGATGCTACTGTTCTCACTTGTTTCTTTGCCTCATGTGACATTGCAGATATGTACAAGTTTTGTTGCAGCACCAAAGCCAAAGAAAGTAGCATCACTCACAGTTACAAATGAATTGGTTCTTTGTGTTGTGAATTGTGATTTGAAGGAAGAGAATGAATTAGAGCAAAGAAGCATAGGAATGAAGATAGTACAATGGAATGAAGTATCTCAAGGAAGATCATGAAGCATGACATAATATAAATTGATTGATTTTCCATTCGATGCATTCTAGGAGGAAGTGAATGAATACTAATTCATGGTGATGCCATCATGTGAAAGTGATTAAATGATGACTACCAAAAATTTGCCTTGCCAATAGGAATGTATTTTACAGTCAGTGTTTTTATATATATATATATATATATATATATGCAATCATGTCAGTTTCAGCCACAGTAACATATGAAGCCTTTCTTATTGGATGTGCTCTCGTAAGAAACTTAAAATAATCGACAATCTGAAGTTGAAGATAATCTTTAAGTACTTTGAAACCTTTCATTAAGAAATTTAAAATAATCACCCAAAAAATAATCAGCCAACCTGAGTAAAATCATTTAATTGAAACAGGAAAATACAAAGCAGTCACAGGTAGAAAGGAAAATAAAATGGCAATTTCCTGCTCCGACCTATCCTTGTTAGTATAAGCAGACAAACTAAGGCCTTACAATAGTTCCCATCTACAAACAGAATATCTTAAAATAGAAGCAACCAAGGAAGACTTGCTTTATAGCTGCCATGAACAAAGACGAAGGCTTTAGAAAAGGTTCTTGAACTTCTCCTCCCCTTTGGACCTCACTTGAACCACCACCATTGATTGGTTTTCCTATATTGTGAAACGCTTCCACTATGCTGTACATTGTTCACTCTTGAAACTCCTCTTTGATTGCTCGTTTCACATGATCCCACGATCACACCATACATATCTGCACGCCGAGAAGAACAACGATGAACGTGTTCAAATGTTCAATCTTTAATTAAGATTTCAGTACTTGGATCACTTAGATTTATTGTATTTTAGCCACAGAAAATCGATGACAGCACGAGTTAATATCTTAAAAAAAAAAAAATAGTGTACATCAACTGAATATGTTATGTTCAGTAGCTAAATCGTGCACTTGAGATTTAGCAAAATAATTTTGATAATAGATGCTTGCCTCTTCTAAATATGACCTCTTCTAGTTTCTGTCATTGCCTGTATCGAGATAACAGTGAAGGAATATTATTATTGGGTTCGTAAGTGAAAGCTTGTTCCTATTGTAAGAAAAATCAGTAGCATGCTCATATTATTTCAACATTTAAAAAGGCTAAACTCGTTCAGAATAATTCAAAGACGAAAAATTAGAAACCAAATCCAGGTAAGCAGAAGAAAACCAATTTAGATTTTACTATCCAACCGGTTTTGCTTCTTCGATTTCAACTTCCGCAACCCATATGAAACAAATGGACGTTGGAATTTGCAATCAGAATTTTACCCTTCAGTGACAAGAGCGAGCGGCCGATCAGAGCAATGTCTAAGACGACGACTAATCGAAGCATGGAATCAAACTTCCTCTCGAACATGGGCCCTTGAAGATGTGAAGTCAGGAAAAACCCATGTCAACTATCCATTCATTAAAAACTCTTATTAAAATATTCAGACATGAAAAATTCCAAGTGAGCTCACTGAGCTGCCCATTCATAGGCCAAATGAGACTTCTTTTAGACAAAATGAGTCAACACCTTAACAGTCAAATTAACGCTTTTGATGGATGAGATTGCACTACTTATTACTTTAAGACACTAGGTGACTCTGAAAATTCTTTAAAATACTGAATGCACCTTAACCCTAACAATTGTCAGTTGGTCTAGAAGAAATAAGAGTTGTCAAAAGGGCAAAGATGGGAGGGGTACACATGTGCAGAATATATTTTCATTTTAAATTAGTAATAAATCATACATGAGAAAATTGGCATATTGGAGAATTTTTTTTTTGGGTGAATATATTGAAGATTAGTTCTTAATCCCACATTAGAATTGTACACAATCACTCCCAAACACTCCCACTAACATTGGAATTAACTCCCAAAACCCCAGTTTTCACATCTGGAACGTACTCACCCTGACTCTCATGTCAGAATCATCATTTTCTTCATCTTAGTCTTTTCTCATCACGTTCTGCATCTACTCCTCCTTTTCTTCATCATTTCCATCAATCTCTATAAACCATTCATTCTTCTTGTTCCATCAATTCGCACTCTATGTTCTGTCTTCATCATCATTGGTGTGCATCTTCACATTGGAGTTACTACTTTCTGAAGTAACTTCAAGTTTCCAGGGCCTTCCTTGGTGATCTTCTTCTGGAACCTTCACCTGAAAAAGACGAAAATAAAGGAGACTAAGTCTCAGTAGCCTTAGCTCTGCCAATGATACTTACCAATACCATAAGACATCTATGAGACGGAAGTTCACAAATTGTTCCACACAACAGATAATAGCACAGAAGGTCATGAATGCATAATAAAAGCAGTAATGAAATCATAACAAGCATGATCATATTCATTTCACCCGAATCTGTAGTTCACTATACCAAGACATGGTATTTATTTCCAAAACCGCCCTTATATTTTTGTTATTTCCGCCACTCATGGGTTAAGTGCTCCTCCATGTTACTAGCCTCCTTGCTAAGCTCCCCATCATGTAATGTAGATCCGCCAAAGTCTACAAGATACCACCAGGGTCATGATTTCATCCAAAAAGAGAAAACTGCTCTTAGGAATACTGCCTGTAGGTTGTCCCAGTCCCTATAGAATACTACCATATGGGACAAAAGAGGCCAACTATAGAGCACAATATAGCAATAGTGCCGTGTGGTCAGAATATAAATCAATTCCTATCGACATCTCTGCCCTCCCAAATAACCATAGCAAGCTACTATATTATCAATTCCAGCATTTAAGAATCAACAGAGTTCTTTAACAACTTCTCAAATATACAAAATTACAACGAGTTCTACGCATGCAGGCTGACCAGTTTCAGGCATAATCCAATCATATGTCTGTCCAGTCTCATATCAGACACTCCAATAATCAATTATGTTTATCCTGTTCTAGATTACTCAAGACAATTCCAGTTCATTGATTATAGTCAAATAGCTAATTCCCTTTCATGCAAGTCTCACTAGATTTTAACAGTTCCAAAACATGTTTCATGATGATTTAGGCACGTTTAAATAGTCAAGTATTAAGCAAAACACTCATGAACTATACTAGTAACTAGTAAGCATAACATGAAATCCAGAGTTACCCAAAGTGTGGCTAGTTTCTCGAGTTACAATCAAGACCATAAACTCGGGCTGGTTAAACCAGGAAATGAATCTACAAGTAGAAGATATGTGTTACCAATTTGTCTTATAAGTTACATACTGAATGTTAACCCATACATCCCCTTTTAAGGCTTTTGAATTGTTACTTAAAAGTTACCTGAAAAAGCAATTTTACGCGGAATTAGGAAACTTATGTATTCAAGCTTTCAACAGCAAACAGAACTAGTCAGAATGCTGATTAACTCCTAATAACATGTATGAATTCCCAATTTTGTTACCTATAAGCTACTATTATGATTTCTAGAAAATTTCCAACTTGCAATCTAGACTCTTTTAGAGCCCACTTGGTAGCTGAAAATCTTACAATGAAAATGAAAAATGTTGATTTTCCATAGGCGGTGCATGTTCAATTGCAACATTTTCTAGGAATCAAAATTCCGGCGGCAGCAAATTTTCTATCATATAAGGGAAAGTTGGCTCCCACCAATTTTCAATCGCAGGCGGGAAAGTGCCAAAGACCAAGTTGCCTGTAAAACTTAAATAAAAAGCTTGCTGCCTGACGAGTTCGAATGAAATTGCTTGAAGACCCCATTACAACGTTGACGTAGAAAGTGACGGACAAAGGCTTTTGTTCTCGCAGATAACCTTCAGCAATAATGGCCAATGTTATGTTATTGTCTGTTTCCCATACTTGTTTGAATAGTGTGTTGGTTTTAAAGGATTCCAGCTACTTTACCTCGCCACGTTGTTCTTGAGTTGGGGATATGGCACTAGAACAAAAGCTGTTCTAATGGACCAAGTCTCTCACTTGTGAACCATGAGAATGTCTTGCAAGCAATCGATTCAATTGCCTTTGGTTAAGCATGCATTATTTTCGGAATTTTGTGCTGGAAGCTATGGGAGGGCGTAACCGCATCGTGTAGTAAATGAGTCTCTTTCTCTTTGCGATTACACTGTCAAAGACAAAGATTCCACGGCTAAATGTTGTTTTAACTGAGCATAGTCATTGTTGTTCTCGGACCTTATTTTTGTACATAAATAATGTATCCTCTTTTCCTTCAAATTTCTTAGGTTGAGCGTTAACAAGAAGGCTCGAAGAGAAAGAACCTTTATTTTCCATGAATCGTCCTTTCCAATATGCTTTAGTGAATTGCTCTGTTTGCTATACTCAAAACAGGAGCAAAACAGAGTGTGTAAGGAAGAAAAGGAAAAAAAAAAGAGGAAAATTTGAATTTAAGCATAAGATGTGAATTTGTTCATGTGATGATGAAATTCTTTGCTACATAAAATGCAAACTGGTTTGAGGAAATTTGAATGTGATTAAAAAAAATGCAATTCCTTTCAAATTTGATGTAAGAAAAATTGAATTTATTGCATTAAATTTGAATTTACTTGCTCATTTTCTTACCATATCAAAGCTTAAATTTCAACAAGTATAACTTTAAAAATAAATTTTTTTTAAAATATGTCATATTACATTGGAAATTGCGTTTCAATGAACTTTACAATATGTCATTTACCTAAAAAATTAAAAAAATAAATACGGGTTAGCCTATTGAGGGCCTTATGATGTGGGTTAAAAAAATTCGTTTATCGGTGGGTTTGCTTATAGCCAACCCTAACCCACCACTTTTGACGAGTTGGATTTACAGGTCCAATCCATATTACCAGTTCTAGCTGAAGCAAGCAACTCTAACCCTAAGTAACCAAGTCTCTCCTATTCTTCATCAAACGGTCAGACCCTCACCGCACACTACACTGACACAGTGACACTCATACTCCCTTCCCTCAGTCAGCCAGTCCCTCTCCCAATCTCCCTTCGCTAGTTCGCCTAAAATTTGAATTGCCTCTTCTCTTCGCTTTAGTTGCCCTTCTTACTCACTTCCTATTTGATCTTTGCCTAAATCGTAGAATCAGTGAATCACCTCTTCCCTCCTTGAATTCCTTCGCCATTGCAGATCGGAAAAATGCCAGAGCTCGAACTCAACCTCTGCTCCTCCATTTCTCGTTTGACTCTTCTCCCTAACTCAATCTTT